GCATATTAACATGGCGAGGTCGAAGAAGGCCACCCGACATGCTTTGCCGCCAAGACCTCAGCCGCTATAAATATGCCTCAGAAAAACATGAAAAGCCAGCCTAGGTATTAAATTCATCCTTTGGATAGAGCTGGTGAGTGTCCTCTGGACCAGTGGTTCCCGGGCAATCTCCCCACTGGCCCTTAAACCATGAGGGCCTATATATATACTCCTTTCTTGTGGCCGATGAGAGTGTTACTGCATCGTGGAAAAGTCTGCTGGAGCAAGCATGCCTGTCCCAATCCACTAACAGCCAAATGAAACTGAACCAAGGGCTGTAATACCCACAGGAATGAAAACACAATAAATAAGAGCTTTTTAATTAAATATTGGCCTGAAATGTCCAGTATTTAAGAAATGTTTCTCCTTTGGTATGGTACAGCTTCATTTCAAATAGCAGTTCAACTCTACAGTATATCGTTTTGGGATGAAAAGTGACCCAAGCAGGAAAGTAATATGCATTCTCTTATTGATGTCATGTGGTTTGGCAGAGGTTTTTGGCCCTTGGAATGTTTTACATTTTGGCTTGAATTAGACATGGTATGAATGGTCACAATTTGACGGAGGGGGACAAAATAAATGATGCACAGTGCTCTCAGGTGACAGCACACAGGGGCTTGGATTTCATCGGTCAGTAATTGAGAAAGGACCTTGGACTTTTCTCTTTCTCAAATATGTACTGCGTGTGTCTATGTCCTTTCTTTACAACCTAAATAGTAGAAGACACAAACTGCCACCTATACATATACATTATACATACAGTATGTCCCCAAAGCCACAGGTCAATTATGGCAATTGCCAATAACTGCCACAAAGAACATTCAGCCATGTGATACCAAACCCCTCAGTATCTATCCACTCACATTTTAGAGGCTGCCCGAATATAAAAACAAGCAGTCTGCACTCATACGATACCAGGCTGCATCCTGCAACCCACCACAAAAACAAACAATCTGGTGCGTTAGCTGTGACATTAAAGATTGTAACAACACGATGCAAGAGTGACCTCGTAGAATTAAGTTATAATCCGTATGTTCTGTTTTTGTCAGCACTCTTTTTTTACATAATAACCGTTTTTCAAGACCAAAAAGAACAGTGGCACTGCTTTACACACAAGTATGTTATAGAGGAAATTGAACCAGCCACTACTGCCATGACGGAAAATAGTCCACTAATTTGTGTGCCACTTGCTAGTTTTTTTCTCAGGAAGAAGGACACCCAGTTTGTATAACTGCAAATACAAAGGTTTTCATCATCGTTACCTCATCAATAAATCGATAAATGCTTAACAGGCATTGATTTAAATGACAATCTTTAATTGTATTACTTTTAACTAACACTTTGACAATATTGTCCTTTTTTGACACGTACACATGCTCCCTAAGGCCTTGACACATCCTTCACTTTTCACCATTGACCTTGAGTTTATCAGTTAAGAATAGACCAGAAGAGGAGGTCAGAAGTGTTCTCTAAACATTCACACCAGAGAAAACAAGTCCCCTTTTCTGTTCCGTCTCCAGCCCTGGTGTTTTCACTTCTTTATACCCCCCCACCCATCCACCACCCACCCGTTTTCTATGTGAACCTGGCACGCTTCCTGCTAAATCTCGAGCCCCGGTCAAACCACAGCTTCCTCTTTCAAAATCAGTAGTTCAACATGATGTTCTAACTGCGCAGTTTCATGGTTAACCAGAATAACCTTTCTCTCTCTACGGGCCTCATAATGGCATCAGTTTCCCCTCATGAATTGCACATAGAGCAGTCTGTGAGGAGGGTGGCCACACCTGGAGAGGAAATCAACCATTAAATCTGATGACAGTATTAGAGATCCCCTACTGAGATAATGGGGAATCCAGATGGTAAAATAACAGAGCGTCCTGGGCTCTTCTCAGGTGTGTGGTCTGACTCCTGGAGCCCTGATCCACCTCATCATTATTCATCCATCATTTTCCCAATGTGAATTACTTCTCCAGTTGTTACTGAGACTTTCTGTTTTCTGTTATTCCAAGTACGCTGATGTTGACTGAATTGACAACTGTTGTCTGATCTGACTTTTCTTAGCACTACCCTTGTGGAGCAAATGCAGCAGACATGCAACAACCATGGTTACAAAGTAAGACCTCTGCATTGGAACACACTGCAGCTTCATTTCCCACAAAAACAATTAGATGTTATTAGCCAGTTAAACAGTCTCCGATTGTTTGGTATTCGTCATATGCCATGAGAATTACATCCAGCTTCTGTCTGTAGCCCCAAGCCCATTGGTTTACCAGTATATCATTTATTTAAAATAGCTACACAGTAATAGCATTGCATAGTACATTTAATGGGGACTATTTTTAAACTGCAGTGTTGGTTGCCAACGAGTACTCATGGTAGCAAGACAGTGTAAAGTTTATGGTAAGGAAGGAACTTATCACCCAATGCAATAGTGTGGCTTGTTGGTATTTCTTCTAATAGTTTTTAGCATATAATTCAGCTCTTTTGTACAGAGGAATAAAGCTTTCGATTAACAGCTCATACTTTGTGGTCGGTCTTTCTATGGTATTTGTTGACAGAAGAGATGTATTGAATATCACCAAATGTATTTATATAGGAGCCAGATCCATGTGTATTTATATAACAGTGTAGAATTGTATGTAATGTATAGCAATAATATAGAGTTCATTTTCGCATTGTTTGCATGCACATGTTTGCATGCCTTTTGCATGTTTATGTAGCGTTGCATGGTAACTACTGTGTTTGCAGTTGTGTATAAGTTTAGAGGAGAAGCCTCTGAGGCACTCTATGGGCTCTATTATATTACCTACACAAAGCAGGCA